GGTTCCTCCCGTCGCCTCTTCTTTGTTCGAATGTTTTTCAATCCATCCTTCACGAAGCCCTCCCATGTAGCTAGCGTTCTTGGCGAATGTCTCGAAATGGCCAGCAGGCGCTGTCTGCTCGCGGTCTGTGCGGGCCGCTCGTCCTCCTCGCCCTTCTTTCGTCCTCCCGTCCCTCCCCTCCACCATGGCCTTCTCGGCACTTCTTTCTCCATCCGCCTCGCCCTGCCTTTTCGCATCGTGCCGTTCGCCCTCCATTCGGTGACCTCCATGGCTGTCCGCCCCTTTTTGGGTGGCGCTCTCGATACGGTTGCGTCAACCTCGACGTCGCTGTCGCCCTCCCCGTCCCCGCCGGCGTCCGTGCCTCGGTTCGCGTCATCGGTAGCGTCTCCGTTGTTCCCTCGTGCCCCGCCGTCGCCCTCTCTGCTCGGGCCGTTAGCGATTTCGCTCCTCCTGCGTGTCGCCCCTCCGTCCCCTCCCCTTTCTTCGTCGTCATCGTCGCTGTCGCGAAAGCCCTCCGGTCCCTCGATTCCCTCGCCTATCCCCTCCGCTAATCCTGAGCAACAATAAGCGACTGTACCACGGAGCACAGAGCGCAGCAGACAGGACGGCGGCGACGGCGGACATGGCAGAGACGAGTGTGAAACAAAGGGCGGCGGGCGTGGAGGGCGGTAGCGACGGGGATGGAGACGGTGACGGTGGCGAGGGAGAGGAAGGGGGTCCATTAACACCAGACAGCGAGAGGGGCAGGGAGGAAAGGGGGAGAGAGGAAGCCAACGCGACGTGCGCAGAGGATGAGGATATAAACTGGGACGACGCAGCGGAGGGGATTGAAGAATTTGATGGGCCTATCGGTGTTCTCGAGGTTCGTTATACCATCCCATCCCTCCCTTGGGTTGTCTGTTTTCTTTCTTTCTTTCTAGGTTCGTTATACCAAAAAGAGGGCTCGAGGTTCTCGAGGTGGATATCCTTTGGCCCTATCGGTGTGTATGAGTGTGTGTCTTGTCTTGTGGTTCTGTGTGTGTCGCTCCTGTGTGACCGTCATCGCCCGTTCTGCGTCCACCCATACCGCGTTGGTGTCCCATCGCGCCGATCACATCAGCGGACCGACGGTGCGTCTGGACGCGCACTTTGCACTCCGGGTCCCAGACAGAGGCATCTCTCAAAGTGTCGCCGCATGGCCTCATCGGCCAGTCGTTCACC